TATGTATGTATGTATGTATGTATATGTATGTATGAATGTATATGTATTTATGTATATTTATAAATTTATATGTTTTTGTATGTATTTATATATATGTGTGTGTGTGTGTGTGTGTGTGTGTGTGTGTGTGTGTGTGTGTGTGCTTGTGTGCGTGTGTGTGTTTGTGTGTATACAGATATATGCTCAACAAATATTGCTGCCCAACAGACTCGGACATGGATGGAGATTCGACATACGGTGGCATCAGCGATCAAAGCAGTATTGTTAACTCAGCGCCCCCGTCACCGTCGTCCACAAAGAGTGGAAGTCCCGATATGACCCGCTCCAAGAAGCGAAAGAAGAAAAGTAATCTCTCGTAGATGATAAAACTAGTTAGTGTCAATGTACCACTTTAATAAATATTAGTTTCAAATGGAAGCCAGCCGGAATGAAGTTCCGCGTGAGTGGCATGTGCGATGCGGAAGTGTCGATTTTGACCTCACAAGTAGAATTCATATCTGATAGATAGCGGATTTAGTCAGATCATATCGAAGTGGCTCAGTTCCAGTGATTCAGAAACACAGTATATTTGTATAGCCATCATATCTTCCAACTGATAACCGAACATAATACAAACCTACTCAGACTAGTCATCGTTCGTAGGCACCCTACCTAGTTGTCACTACACTTCAGTATTAATCTGTACATACAATCTTCTGTTGCTTTGTAGCGGTGGGGTGCGTTGTACTGTTGTTCGTTGCAGTAAATCGTGGTATTTTTTGTTATTCGCAAGTAATACATTACTTCGTATTGTCTGTATGCACCTGTGTATATATAAATCTACTTTCATTCAGGGGGTACGATAAATTCCGTATCCCGATGTGCGTACCTGTATACGTTTGCATTTCCATATCCCATCTACTATATTCCCCCCTCCCCCGCAATACGCCCCATGCCTATGCAGCCATCCACATTTCACTGCTTAGTCATCGACTGCTTGCGTATAACCTCCTCGGCGACCGCATGCATCAGCGTACTCCGTCTCCTCTGGTACGTGGGTTGTAGTTCCTGCAGCTTCGCTCGCTCTATAGCCAGTGCGCTGCGCACCCGTTCGAGCTCCTTCTCGAGCGCAGGCTGCATGGCCACTACAGCCGCCATACCCTCCCCAATCACCGCATTCGATACACTCCCACTCACGCTGCCCATAGACCGGCGTGGACTGGGGGTATCTGCCTGAGGCGACGCACTGGTGCTGCGCCGGTGTCCCTGTCCCGCGTCCTGCCTCTGGTCCTGTCCCGCATCCGCGGGGTTTAGGACTGAGCTACGCCTCTTGCCACTGCCCGCGGGCAGGCTGGCCGTAGCGGCCATGCGCTGCGCACCCGCACCGCCGCTGCCGGATGGCCGTGCTTTGGCCCCCATTTTGGCCCCCACGGGGCCCCCACTCTGGCCCATCTCATCCACCTCGGGTATCACACCGTGTGTGTGCGTCTCGTTGAAGCCCGAGACACTGACCATAGGCGGCGTGGCCGTCTCGGGGAGCGACAGTGTGTTGTGTGACGCCGACGAGCGCTCCTTGTCGCCCATGTTGGAGCTCATCAGCACCGCCGCCTGAGTGCGGGGCAGAGCACTGGCATCAGTCAAGCTCCGGCTGGCTCGCTTTTTACTGGCCGTGTCGGACTTGGGCCTGTCTTTGGACCCCGAGTCCTTTGCGGCAGGGCCGGCCTCGGTCTCGGGCAGGACTACAAATCCGAAGGATGTGGTCAGATCGGGATTGGATTCCGATGTCAGCGGCAGCGTAGGCGTGGCCGGCATGACCAGATCTTTAACACCTTCGCCGATATCACTCCTGGCCCGGCGATGGCCCTTCATAAACTTGGTTGTGAGTTTATTCCTGGGGGAATCCACCACCACACTCGGGAACAGGTGACCTAAATCCCGCTCCGCATCGAATCCTGGGGCAGCCTCGGGTGCCACGGCTACCTGCATAGACGGTCTCTTACCCTTTCCCGTGGCCACCTTGTTACTGGTACTGTTATCTGACTCTTTGGCTTTTCCCTTATACGCCACCGGTGGTACCATGACAGCCGCTTTTCTCAGCATCTCCTCCTCACGTTTCTCTCGCACAGCCAGGCTCCTGTCTAAACTTTTGAGTCCGGTATCCAATAGATTTTGTACCAACCCCGGGTGCAGTACACCTTCACCCATACACCCTGAGCGAGTTAACCTCTCCTCCGCCTCGGCATACAATGTTTGCACCTTGTGCAACGCCCTGACTCCCCCGTCAAAGTTAAACTGTACCGCTTTCCTGTAGTGCTGCGCTGCATCGTGAGCTTTATCCGCCGCCAAGGTGGGCACACTCGCCCCACTCTCCAGGGTAAAACGGTCACCCGGAGAGTCCGTCTTCTTAGGCTGGCCGTCGGTTTGGTTCGCCTCCTGTCTCGCCGCTCGTAAGTCGTGGATCGACCCAGAGAGTGAGCTTATACTGGCTGTGTTGGCCGCCAGAAAGGCCACATCCGCTTTCTTACTTATACTATGCGTAGCGTTAGCTGCCCCCTGAGTCATGCTCAGACGTATGTGCTGTTCCATATACGCTCCGGCACGCTTGGACAGGGTCAACGCGCGCACCAGCAGCTTCTCCGCCATCTCCAGATCATCCACCTTCGCCTTGGCCTGGTTGTAAGACTCGCGTGTGTCGGCTAACTGCAGCACATTGTCGTTGTGGGGTGCTAGTTGTAACAGCAGAGTCTCTCGCCTTTCCTCGAGCGATTCTATCTGTTTCTCTGGTCGGGTCAGCTCGGATATTTTCAGCATACGCTCTTTCGCCAGTTTCTTCGCCGCAACTTGATCTAGCTGCGACTGCAGCATAGCAACCTCCATTTGTGCCTTGTCGAACGATTCCTCGTATTTTTTGGGTTTACTTCGACCGAATTTGACCACACTTTTACTGCCGCTGCCGCGTTTCTCAAGCAGTTCCGTTTGTTCCCGTAGTTTCTTCTCTTTCGACCCAATTTTAAGTTTCAATCTGTCGATGTCTGTGATTGCCTGGTCAAGTTCTTTCTGTGCGTTTGCCATTTTTAAATCGGAATCATTGCCCTCGGAATCGATACCAGCCTGCATAACCTGCAGCGCTGTGTATGTCGACCCAAATTACATATTAGCACAACATGATAAGTAGTCAAACAACCTGGAAATGTAACGCGCGATGGATCCGAGTATATAGAGCAGGACAAATGAAAACATACGGGCGGTTTAAACTGAGAACTGTTCGATTTCTATTTCGGGCGCGTGACATCAATAAGTATAACGACATGGTAAATAAAGTATGTACACCCTGTGCTTATCTTTTCCCAATCAGATCAACAACACCATTCACTAACGCCACCTCCGACTAGCACATGAGTAGATACTGTAGCCCTACATAAGCACTTGAGAACGACACTATATTTAATATATATAATACATATTTTATAT